ATACATTGGCTGTGTCATAAACTTATTAGTAACAATCAAAAAGACCAGCAAAGGGGTAAATAAGGTATCCAGATTTATATATATCCCTACAAGTAAACATTATCAAGTGCAACTACCTACCTATCTGCATACTGTTGAGTGCAATCAAGGCATGTTAAGTTTAAACCTGTTAATGTTTGTAATAGTTTTGCTACTGTGTAATTTGTACGTGATGTTCGAGTTCATGAGACCAAGATATCTAAGTTACACAAGTTAGGTAAATGTTGTCAACTTTACTTCATGTAACAATAAACTTTTGACATGGAGAAAGATAGATTTCTTTTAATCCAAATTTATATATGTATTGTTGATGCAACAGAAAGGTGGCAACTCAAGGTAAAAGAAAGTCTTTGAACGAGTATGTTCTACTGACTGCTCAGTACCAGTACCAGGATCAGTACGGACAGGCCCTATGCCCTGTTCTCCCTGTAGCCCGTATAGTTCTCAGAAGAGAAGGCCGACCTAACTTTTAGACACAACACAGGACGGCAGGGGGACCCTGATGTCTCTCCCCAGGTGGCCGTACGTCCACCGGACAAACTGCCGGTAGGCAGAGTATCTCTTCCACCTGAAAGGTGAAAGACAGACATTAGTAAGGGGTCTAGTAATAGTAATGCGATGAAAAACAACATTCTGCTTATATTATTTTTTTAATTCTGCCTATCTATGTTATACAAAAATTTAGAATATCCTAAGGTCCAAAACACTTTATACTCACTCGTTTCCGAGGGCCTGTCCGTACTGATCCTGGTACTGGTAGTGAGCCGTCAGTAGAACATACTCGTTCAAACATACCGGCTGAAAGCCGATATGTTCAGTGATACATTCGATGCCCTGGACTTGCTCTCTGGTCTCTGAAACCCGGGCCTGTTCCCTACAGCAGACGCCCTCCACTTCCGAGTTCATCACCTCGCATTGTCCACAGGTACACCTATTAAAAATTCAAAGTGTTCTTGAAATCACTGGGGGACTTGTATTATACTGTGGTGTTTCTTTTTGACATTGTAGGTGAGGGGAAAAAATTATTTCGTTGGCATAGACGTGGCAGCCATTTATTACGGTAAAATTCGGTATATAACACGTTATATACCGTAACTTGACATGCAGCGTAAACTCTGGTAACCTCCTATTGTATGTTAAAGTTTCAAAATCAATCCCAGGTACGTGCAGCAAAAACTGCGCCACTATACATTGTATCATGTCTTACTTACCAGTTCGTATTATTGCGTCTCTGAACGCCCATGGGAATGGCGTTGTCATCCCGGTTGTCATCGGCGTCCCCACGCGCGTCTTCCTCTCGACCTTGAAGTTCCTCGTCGCTATCCTCCGGTTCTGCCTGCTGTTCGTCAAGATACGGCTCGAACCGGTACGGTACAATACCTCCCACGGCCCCCTCTACTAGCTCCACTAGCTCTTCGCGCTCGAAAGCCTCAAAAATAGCTTCCACACTTGACTCCGATGAGTCTGAGTCCGAGTGGTACTCGTCGTCGGCCATATTGTGTATAGCAGGAGCAGCGGAGTTGGAACACGCCGTTCTGCACGTGACGTCACAGCACTTCCGGTTGCGGGCCCGGAGTCTCGCCCGCGGATCGCGAAAATCGCAATGTTTGAAAGGCCGTATAAGCTATATTTTTCAATGATTACCGGTAAAAACTACTTTAATATGTTGAGACATATGTATATTTTCGAAATGTCACTGTTTTTAACCAACTTAATTAGGTTTCATACGGTCTTTAACGCACCGTGTTTCCTGCCGACTTCGTGCGGTGCCTCTCAAAGTGAACGTGCGCTTATAAAGGGCACGGCGGCTGGTGGATCAGGGTGTAGCTAATCTGTGATACAGCAGGAAAGTCGCGGGAGCACGGGAGACTTAGGCCATACCGGTTTAATTTTATGGATGACATCCACGCGCGCATCGCCTGTTGTCAACAAAAAAAAAAGATCACGTCTTCATCAGAGGCTCTGGTCTAGCTCTAGGCGTGGGTAGTTAGCGACAATACGGAGCCGGTGATAACTCTGCAGGATGGCACCGAAGCTGCTGAAGCTCCACGACTCAAGATCTTAGTACATACGTACAGTGCCTATTCATAAATTCCGCAAAAATCCAGCATGTGCCGGCTTGTCGTAATGTCACAATACCATACCGCAAATTCACAATACCAGCTTTGTATTTCTTTGGTTTTAAGTAGAATTTTTATTTTTGGCCGGGAATTTTTTTTATTCGACCGCGCGCACTAGTTTGGGGGTCTTCATAATCAGAGAGTGTCATCAATAAAATTAAGACGGTGTCGCCTTGCAGAGAGACGGGTACGCCGCAGAGTCACGAGCGACACCGTGTGAGCGAAGGCGTGAGGAGGGGCGTGTATTAAACTAATGAATCGTGAAAACGTGATTAAACGAGACTTTCCAACGAAGCGGCCACACAAAGCAAACATTGGCGCTGCATCAGAAGGTTCTCTAGCGTCAAATTTTCTAAAGTCTTAATTGAAAGTCATGTCTCCATGACGGCAGACGTAAGCGACCTCGCTGTTGCGCCATATGGATCAAATGCCGTGACTGCTAGGGGTTAAATTCGTTGGTTCTAGTACTACGTCTACTCCCTTTATCGAAGGAAAACATATTGTTTTTGCTCAGTTTCTTCTTCTTCTTCTTCTCCGAACAGTGACCTCAATAACCTGAACCAATGTTTTGCCTTTTACCATGGTAACTAGTGTTGGGTTACATCATGTTCCAATTTTATAGCAGGAGGGATTTAGATCTTTAACGTCAGACAGGAGTCTTGAGATTTAACAGAGCAGACCATATGCGGAGGTAAACATTATGCATTTGCTTTGCAAATGTTACCTTTCTAGTTTCAGGTCTGAATCGAGAGAGGATTGAAAAAAAGCGACAGAGATGTCGTTTGTTGAGAAGCCCGTGGAGAGGGCCGTGGCCATCAAGGCCCTGAAGCCGTGGTGGGACGTGGCCATAGACTACATCCTCATCGGCTTCTTCGTGGTAGGGATCGTCTGCACGCTGAAGGGGCTGATGGGCCACGAGATTCTCTGCTTCCCGGACCTACAGGGGAACGACACTTACCAAGGGTGAGGTCAATGTAGGGTAGAGACTGGGATGGAATAGACACATAGTAAAGAAAGAGACTCTTTTTACACAACCAAGCCTTTTTTCCGCCAACGTTTCGGTGGCCGTCTGTCACCTTCCTCAGGGCAATTCTGCCTGGTTCACATTGCACTGCAGCACAGGTGTCGCTGCTATAGATGCATTCCCATGAATAAAAGACTTGGTTGTGTAATAGGAGTCAAAGGAATGGGAGTGGGTTTATGTAAAAAGTACTGTCAGTGCAATAAAATGGAATGAACGCAACTATATACGATTTAGTGGAGTGGAGGATAGCTATGGAATGGATTTCACTGGACTAAAATAGACTGGAATGCGAAGTAACATAAAGTACTAGTATAAGGTAGAATAGAACAGAATTGAACTAGAATTCGAAGATCTCATACCTCCATAATAATGTCGACATGGTTAAAAGTAACATAACGTGGTGGCTGAGGATCAACACAATTTGACCATAGCTGAACTTCTATCCAAATAAAATCCTGTTCACAGTTTCATCACACGGGAAGAGGCGATCCAGTACTACAGCGTGCCCATGAGTGACTTCGTGCGGTCCTCCTGCCACGCCACCCTCCCCCTCTACCTGCAGTACTTCCTCTACATCGTCCTGGTGGAGAAACTCTCCATGTTCGTCACCAACACGTTCTGGCTCAACTTCCCGCACATCAGTAAGTAGAGATCAGAGTTTCTACTGTCAGTGGTCAAATTGGATATGATGTCTGTCCTTGGTGCTGAAATCATTATCCTTTCTGTTTGCCCTGTTTGTTTTGTTTGTTTCATCTATTCTTACATAATATACTAATACACATGATAGAATAAAGGCAAAAAGCAGTATGCAGGAGTGGATAGGAAGCTTAGAAGGCAACAAATAATAATCATGAAACTATTGTAATGATTAAAAAATAATATAGATGCTTTAGCAACATAAAATTAATGACAAAGAAAATTTACATGGCCGAAAGCCAATATGCTATGATGGTTTTATCAATGCTGTTGTCACCAAGATATTTTTTTTATTTTCCAGTTTCCGGTGTGATCCGGTTCTACACGCTGGTGTTGGAGACTGCGCATCTCCGCCCGGCCATCGACATGCGCATCCGCGACTTCCAGCGAAAGGATGCGGAACTGCATGAGGCCGACAGCCCAGCCGACAACAACCCGCATAGCACCTCTGCTGCAGAGGTGAGATCGGTCTAAAGTCCGCTGTACTTTCGTTGTTTTCCTTTGCTTGCCCATCTCACCCAGGCTCTTGCAACTTCCACGTGGTCCTTGCAATTGACTGAACTGCGCGTTACAGTTTATCAACTGAAACAAAAAAGTGAGGTTTTCTTTCACGCGAGTCGTTTTATTTAAGTATTTTAGATCCTTTGCTTTTTAGTCTAGAAAGGAAAAAATCATCATCTTCCTTAAGAAAATTTATCAACTTCCTTATTCCTCTCATTCCACCTCTTATAGTCTTCTCGTCACCTTCGAAGTTTGTTTGAAACATTCTTTACGTCACAGTGCAAGTGCAGTACGTAGCAAAGGAGTAATTGTAACTATGATTGTACCGCAGTACGTCTGTTATAGCCTCTATAAGGCACCGCGGATGGCTGGAAAAATAGTAGAAATTGGCCAAAATAATTATGATAAAAGGAATAATATACCAGGGGAGTTAGAAGAACAGAGAGGGTACAGAGGGTACCCTCTCTGGTAGGTATCGTATTCCCTTTACTTTGGGCTATTTCTACTATTTCTCCAGCGATTCGCGGTGTCTGGTAGAGGCTATATCTTGTTAATGTTAACGATGTACCTATCCCTGGTCCGGTAGCAGGTTAAGGTGCGAGAACACACCTACGAAGACGCCCAGATAGCCCAGTTCTGTGAGACCATCATCCGGTACGAGGAGGGTTTCCGCCTGTCCCGTATCTGCTTGGGCTACATGATCAAGTCCCTCCTGTTAGCGACGCTGTGCGGATGTATCCTGTCCTACAGCCTGCCCCACTACTGGGTGTTCCCGCACATGTTCCACTGCAGCCTGCCCGCGCTCAAGGACATCGGCTTCAGCGAGTACCAGTGTGCCCGTAAGTCTTCAGCTTACCCCCAGCAAAATAAGCGAAGTGACCAGCATATGTATATGGTTTAGCACGATAACTCAAAAAAAGCTTTAGCTGGATTGTCATGAAACTTGGTAGGTAAGTAGGCCTTGATAAGACCTAGAAATGATCAGATTTTCGCCCCCCTGGCGGCTTTCCAAGGTACGGCAGCAGAACTTCCGCGGTTTTGATATGACGTGATCTAGACATACTAGGGTCACGAATTTTGAATGGAAGACAGCTCTTGGGCTAAGGAAGTGACATGAATTTTTGTCCCATGGCAGCTTGTTTGGAAACTGCAGGAAAGTTTGCTTTTCTTACCCATTCGTTGTTCCCCTTGCAGACGACATCGGGATGCTGTTTTTCGTGTCCTTCGTGCTGACCCGCATCTGGATCTGTCTCATCGCGTTCTTCGCGCTGGTCGGAGCCGTCTTCTCCTGCAAGAGCCTCTTCCGGTAGGTGTCGCTCTTGAACCATGGAGGTAGAATCTACCACCGCCACCCCCATCCCTATTTCAGCACCAAGGACATCACCCGCCGGCGTGCGGTGGGCCGTGGGCACTGCTCCTATGTCCTTCCCGGGAAGAAAGAAGGCGTCACAGCAAAGTTGTAGCATCTTGTGGGGTCGCGTGGCGTAACGACAGAGCGCTAGCGTTCGGCTCTATTATAATATTTAAACCAAGAGGTCCCCAGTTCCTGCCATGCCACCGATCGTGTGCACGTGCATGGGAAAGGCACTTTCCACAAATTTCCTAACTTTACTCAGTGAAAGCATGGACTTAGAACCTATAACCTCCTTGGTGAAAGCTGTTGTCCGCTTATGCAAATAAGTGGAAAAATTGTGTGTGCCATTTTGTAATAAATGTTGAAATAGAATTGTTAGCAGTCAGACTATATCTTCTGTATCTTTGTCCATCAGCTAACTTATCAGTATCAGCTGGTGTGTTACACCGAAGGGCGGTTATACCGACTATACAGATCAGAGTGACAACGAATCCCTGACATGACCGTATGCGCGTGTTCCAGCTCTATGCGCAAAGAGGACAGTGCCGACATGGACTTCCTGTGCCGCCTGTTTGAGCTGCAGAACCGCGCCGCCCTGGGCTCATTCAAGGCCATGATCAACTCCGCCATCAAGATCAAGAGCTATCTCTGTAGGTCAATTACTTCAAATTTTGGACTAAAATCCTCTACTATGTTGAAGTGACATGATGACAGTACCGTCTATACCAGACTATACCTTTGATGCAAGCGCTAGCAGTTCATTTGCGTTACATGTTCTCTTATTTTCAGAATCATTGGTGAAAGAAGCAGTACTTTTACCGTATTGAACTTATTGTATTTTTTGATGCACAAATTTGCTCAGTTGTGCTCTTTGTGATCAACTCTCTTTCTCTCCCTTCTTCTTCTGTCTGTCCATCCCTCTCCTTCCACCTTCCCTCTCTCCTCAATAGATAAAGGTCAGTTATGAATTCCCCAATTATAGACCTTTTTGCAGATCCCATTGCATGCTGGGAAATACGGGGCACTATGGGTAGCTCAGGAGGAAGACAGCATTACCACGACAATGTAGACCAGATCAGTGATCAGATTGTTTTGTGTACTTGTCGTAAATTCGCCATGGTATCATCAAAAGCTGCCCAATGCACGGCCCTCGTATCTGTTGTGATCTTCTTTTTGATGTTGCATGAATAAAACGAAATTTGTAGACAAGTGCTTGGTAACTCCAAATATAGGGAAAACAGGCGGTTTTCTTTGGGGGTTATGGTACTTGTTTTGAAAGAGACAGTTGTGGATCTTCTTCATTTTTCAGTGCCATCCTCGCCTGGTCACATCGAGTTTTCTAAGAACGGGAAGGAGCGTAACTCCATCACCATCGTCTGGGGGAAGGCCACCGGCGCGGAGGAATACGAACTGCAGGTCCGCCGCATCACCACCGGCGTCCAGGCCAAGGTAGGTTTTCATCTCCGTTTTTTCGACTGGATGGTGAACTGCATTACGCTCTTACTGCATTGGGACTGAGTTTAGATATGTTAGGATGCGTTTGGGACCATCATGTTGTTGTGTGAAAGTCGATTCAGCACCAAGGACAGTGGTGTTACCTCTAATATAACTGTATGTCTGTACCAGGCAAAAAAGATACCCGTGCCAGTGTGAATGGGGCTTTGATGCTACTCTCAACCAGACTACATTTGTACTTTGGATCCTGAAATAATTTTTTTAAAAATAAAGGG